AGTGAGTTAAATCCATATCTATTACTATGCAATATTTGATTGATGTGTATTCATTAGCAAGATGATAAATTGGCATCTTTTTATTCATTATTACATACTCTTCGTATGGTTTCAGCTCATAAAAACTATTTATCAAAGGTGGGATTGGTCTATTTCTCTAATATGTATTGGTAAAATGTAGCCTCGCCAATACTTCTAATTATTTGGGTATATCATCACATGCTCCATCATATTTTTTTTATTAAGAATCTATTTGATAGGATCTGCTTTCTAATGCTCAGTGGAGGTTCACCTGCTTCAGCTATTAATGCATTTGTTGGAGTTGATCGAAATGCCCCCAAACATGTTCTTATCGCTGAATATTGAATCCTGTCCAACTTTTTTTGGATATTCGTTGAAAGTGCTCCATATATAAAATAACCGTAATCTATTTGTGATCTTATTAAGCTTCTATATATATTGGGACAAGTTTCTGGGTGAGCGCCCCATTTCATGCTTGTTATTTTTCTAAGAACATTTAATACTGTTTCACATTTGCTTAATATATCATCTACATGCTTTTTAAAATTCATTTTCCTATCCAAACTGATGCCCAGAACTTTAATATTTTCTTTTATTTGTATCTCCTAACATCCTATCTTTATTTGTCTCCTAGTATGTTCTTTTCTATGCCTGGTAAAGATAGCTGCAGAAAACTTATCCTGTGATAAATTCAGGTTATTGTCCAATAACCATTTTCTGCTTTTCTCGATGGCTTTGTTCATCGGTGAAATACATCTAGCTATAGTGGGGCAAGATACATACAGATAAATGTCATCTGCATATTGCAATTTTTCAACATTCAGTTCTGTTACTACTTTAAAGTCTGCCATGTTTATATTGAACAAGATGGGGCTCAATATTGAACCCTGAGTGAGCCCTTGTTCATAACTCTAGGGCCAATTGAACCGGAATCGGTTCGAATGTATAATTGTCTAAAAGATAGAAAATTAATTATCACATTTATTGATTTGTGTAGTAAATTCAAATGTTTTAATTTTTTCTCCAGTATATTGTGAAATTAAATGGGTCGATATGAGTCTATTTCCATTGGTATTCTGTGTGGCTTGATACATGGAACTATTATAATTTTCCTCCACTCTTCGGGAATCCAATTATTTGTTATGATTTGGTTGAATACAGTTAGTATTTCAATTTTCATTTCCGTAGGCCAATTTTTTATCATCGTATACGGTATTATATCATATCATAACGTTGCATCTATAAAATTTCTTGAGCACAGAGAGTGTTAGATCTATGTTCGTAGCACTCCTGTATTTATTTGCTACTGTTCCCTGCTCTTCCCTGCTATTGTATTTGCTACCCCATTCCACATGATGACAATTAAAATCGCCGGTAATTAAAAAACTCGTGTTAATTGTTGAGATTGTGTCCTTGATATCTGAAAAATCTAATTCTGTTTTAGTAGAGCAGTATACTGAAAGAATGCAAAATGGAATATCTGTTTTAATAATGGCAGCGCATATTTGTATATTCTCATTATTGTTGACTAAAGGAAATTCCTCACAATTTATGTCATTTCTAACAATGATTGCTGCTCCTCCATATCCATCTTCCCTGTCTTTGCGAAACATTCGATATCCTCTGAAAAAAGAGTATTAATATTCAGGTTTAAACCATGTTTCCGTGAAAGCCGCGATTGAAATTTCATTCTCATAAATGGAATGTTCAATCCTGGCATTATTAGCTGTAACAGATCTGCAATTAATTTGTAGTATTTTTATTTTTTCAGTCATTTATTTGTAATATATCATTTTTGTCATCTATCCATATCTTTAATTAACTCTTTCATAATTCCTAATGTATAATCTTTTTTTCTTTTTAATGTTCTGAATTATTTCTTCAATTAACTTATCAAATGGTATTTCAACTCTCTCACTATTTTCATGTGAGGAAGATTTTTGTTTTGTATTAATATTGTACTTAAATTTGTACCTGCTTCACTCCTGTGTACTGGGCATATTTTCAATTGTTTTGTTGTTATCACTATCATTTGTTGCGTTTATGGAATTGTTATTTCTATATGTCTGTTTAGATATTGCTACTGAAGGCTTCGTGGTTACGGGCTGTTGATTTATTACTACATGTTTTTCCAGCTGCGCATTGGGCAATTCAGGAAATTTCATTTTGCTTCTAGTTTCTATGTCCGGACTTATGACGTTGGCATATATTCTGTTGTTCATAAATGCTCTGGCTTCTCTGAAACTTATATTATTTTCGTTCATTATATTTCTAATTTCAACATGATACAAATATTTGTCACACTTCTTATCAATGGCTTGATGCTCCCCATTGCATAACGCACAAACCGGATTCTTTTCTTTATTCACACAATCCTTGAAACTGTGTTCTTGTGCACAATAGCTGCATCTCGCTTTACCTTTACATTGACTGGTCACGTGGCCCATTCCTTGGCATTTGAAACATTGTGTCACTTTGTTGTATGTTTCGACCCTGTATTTGACAGCGTATATCGAAACACGGTTAGGTAAACGTTGACCTCTGAACGTTATCACGCATACCCTTGTTGGTACTTAATGCATTGTCTTGTTTTTTTTTTATTTTTTTAATATCTTTTTTTTATTTTTTTTTTATTTTATTAATTATAACAATCATAGTCAGAATGACTCTATGAGTTACAGAGCTGATATAATTAAAATAATATATAATAAATTAAAATAAAAAGAGAAAAAAAATAATAATAATAATCACAACTCATGACATAATTAAAACTAAAGGTAAAATTATAATGTAAACTAATTAATTCATGAAACTGTTCCAATGAACAGCTCACTATGTTATGTCAAGTCCAAAGGAATTTTTCTCTTCAACCTTCTAGTAGACGGAGTCATAAGTAGAGGTGCTATAAGATGATTTGGATGGTTTTCTAGCTTGGAATGATGGATTGAACTTCTGCTACTAATTACATCCTTAATAAAAGGAATATTGAGGTCGTCATGGATGATTTTATTACTTACATACCAAGGTGCGTCAGTGATCTGCCTTAAGATTTTGGATTGCATCCGTTGCATTAAAACAATGTTAGACATGCTGGCGCAACCCACAAGCTCTATACCGTAGGTCCAGATGGGCTTAATTACAGATTTATATATCAGTAGCTTGTTGTCTGTTCTGTTTGATTTGTTTTATTTTAGCCATAATGTGGGTTTTCCATGAAAGTTTTCGATCCAAATATATTCCCAGATATTTAACATTTTCAGCTGGTGGAATTTTCTTGCAATTGAAGTAAACTTCAGGACATCTTAGTTTGTTTAAAGAAAATGTAATGTGGCAAGATTTGCTCTCGTTAATAACAATGCGCCATTTTTTCGTCCATCGCTCGACAGCATATAGATGTAACTGGAGCTTGATAGATGCAACGATAGCGTTGATATCAGAGGATTTTTTAATATCTAGAACAGGAATTTCTGATTGTATATTTTCCATAATATCTGATTCAGTCATTTCGGTGCCGACGTCATATATAACACCCTTCCTAATCAACATAGAAATAGCTAAATAGCTTTTAATTTCTTTTCCATAAATAATTTCTCATTAGTTATTTTATTGGCTGCGTCATATATATTAAACGTAATTTTAATTCTGTTAATGCCTATGGATTTTATTTCTGTAATATCGTTTTTATATTGAGGTAAACTGCTAAATAATATTATGCCTAATGTCATTTAATGTACTGTATTTTTATCTTTGTCTACTGATTCAACATATATGGTAAATGGACCCATATCTTCATTGTTTTGTAATTATCGCCTTTTATTTTTGAGTTCATATCATTATTTTTATCATTATTTTCATTTTTACTTACACTTTGATCATTATTATTTTCGCCTTCTTCCAATTCTTCTGCCCAATTTTGTGTATTATTATTTTTATTAGCAACACTATCATTAACTGTTTTATTGTTTGATTGTTGCTTTATTGAATTTCTTAACATTTCATGATTTATTTTTTTAATTGCCTTACTTTTACTATTTATTTCTTTTTTATTCACTTTAGTTAAATCACTTTCCATTTTATTAATTTTGCTAATAGCATTTTTTATCGTTTTCGATGTTAATAATTTACTCGTATCGCCTGCTACACTTGAACCGATTTTAAACACACTGTCTATGTCGTCCGACTGGCCATCGGCTTCGCCGTATGGCCCTCGTTCTAATATGTAATTTTAAACGAATTAAATTTGTTTCGATTATTCCCGATCTGTTCACTTCGAGAACTCAAAACCGAATGAGCTTTGTTGCTTGAAATATGCTTTAAAATTGACTCAATATTTGGCAAGACGACAATTTATGCTTTGTGATGTATTTTGTTGTGGAATATATTTTAAACTGTTGGTTTTAAATAAATGTAGTCCTTGAGAGGCTACAATCACATTAAATTGTAACTGGAAAACTGGAAAACCATGTATACTTATTACTTATGGCTTCAAATAACAAACTGATTATTTTTCCTAAAGATTCAAACAGGAGTTTCTGACTAAAAATCGATTTACCTACCTGTATTATAATTTTGCCAAAAGTGTAATATCTGATTTGTAGAAGATCCTGCAGGCGAATTGTGATAAATTAATGGAATAATGCCCTAGAAGTACCAACAAAGATTAGTCACTGAATTATTTATAGAATATATTTATATTTTACTCACAATGAGATCCAGTTGTTCCTCATCGCGTCCGATCATGTCTGATATAATCTCATAACACATTCTCGTAGAAAACTTACTCATTATGCAAAATTTTCGAAGACTTACACTGATGCGTCCATCATAACGCAACATCTCTCTTGAATTATTTTCGGTAGCCTGAAAGTACGATGATAAGTATTAAATATAACATTTGTAGGTATCGTAGAAAAATTATTAGCAACCATAAATATTTTCTCACATGTACTGTGTCCATTAAAACGTTCGCCCAGTTCAGCGCGTTGCTTTTCATGTGCGACATGAAGATGGACGGAGCCAAGGCATGCATTGATCTGATTTTCTGATTGTATTCAGGTTTTGTCGATGCCATCACGAAAAATACACATGTACCCTAAAAAATAATGAATTAGTTGAGTATTTATCTTGTAAAATATTGTTTGATACGTTTGAAAGTAGGAACAATAATGAACGTTAGTGGATTGTACATTAGCGGCTGAAGAAAAGTACATGAGGACGCACAAAGCAGTTTTATCTGCCTGCAGCCCATGTTTTGTTTCTCTGTTGAGGCTTCAATGTGGCAAATACCCTATATTTATATTGAAGAATGTTGAGTACCAGAAACTTAAAGCAATGATAGATTATATGTATCGGGGCCAAGTGAACATTACTCTAGATCAATTAGGAGCACTTTTGAAAGCCGCGGACACGCTGCATATTACTCTTAGGTAGTTTGACAAATGTAAAGAAACAGCCTACAAATTGTTTTGGTCCCACTATTAGTAAACTAATAGTCAAACCTTCGGCACCTGATAACGACATAGCGGATCAAAATTTACCTGCTTATAGGAAATCCTTCTCTAGCCCAACCTCTAGGAAACATAATCAGAAGGCATAGTAATGATGGTTCTGCTGTGTTACCTATTAATCAACAATTTAGTAAACCAAACCTCGCTTTACGGCCTAGATACGTTTCTCGAGACTTGGCCGTAAAGCGAAAAGCTGTATAACGAATCAATTATTCTAATACGTATTCATACAAATTCAATGGGATCGGTTCTAAATTTAATAAATATATAAAATGGTTTATCATTCAAAATGCATTTTATTTTTTTTATTTTGTTTAAATTATAAACATATTTAACAAGAACATAAATTTTACATAAAATAAAAAACTTCAAAAGCATTACATAATTTTTAAATAAAAATGAAACAACTAAAACCTACAGATCACTGTCACTATCATTTTGAGCTGGTGGTTTGAAAAATTTGTCTAAAGTTGTTTGTCTTGCCTTCTTGTCTATTTCTTTCTTTAGTGATTTATAACAGCTATTGGACGAGTTAATTCCTCGAGACACATTAGCGCTACGTTCGATGTCAGGATCGTTTTCAAGGAGGATGTTTATTCCTTGTTCAAAATATGAAAAAGCGCTCGACATGATTTTTGATGTTAGCTGTTTGGATACAACAGGTTTTGTATTTTCACCAATTGCCGGCTCTGCTTGCAACTGAATGAGTTCCTCATATGAAAGGGGTTCCCTATCAACCGCAAGTAGATCCAGCACATCAGATTCGTTTAAATCTTCAAAACCGAGATTGCGCGATATATTGACATGGAGAAAAAAAGCCGTTACAGCAAAACATTTTAGGCCGTATATCGAAAACGTATTTTAATTAAAGAGGGCCGTTATAGCGAAAGGCCGTATAAAGAGCGGCCGTATAGCGAGGCTTGGGTGTATAATTCAAATACCCATTAAGAATTCTCTCACCTCTCTTCCCAAGCTTCAATTTAACGGATCCAATTTAACGGATAGGACTGAAAACTCTTCAGACACATTCTAGTCACCCGCTATTGCCAAAACCGCAGGAAAAATAATTGTTTCTAAAAACAACGAAATCAGAACAACATAGTAAATTAATACTTGAACCTTGAAGAAGTCATTGACTCTTTTGAAGACCTATCCTTTAAAGATGATGAAATGAATGATATGGACCAATCACAAGCCGAACCTAGTCATTGTGGCGAAGGATTAAGCCAAGGTTTTGCTGGATGGCATAACATGGGCACAAGACGAAGGACTGGCAGCACATAATACAGCGACAGGACATCGTGAATCACTCTGACCAAGATTTACTTCACGACAATGAAATTCAATTGGTGAGAGGGAAATAACCAAAAGGAGAGTAATCAATGTTATACCGAAATTGCATCTACTAAAAAAAAGCGTCCAAAGGCAATTTGACATAATTTCTTAACATATTGGAAAGTAAACTTGTTTTTATCCATTTTCTTTGCGATGATACTATTATTAGATTATTAGTGATATTCACTTGAAAGCATATTTAGATCTATAATTTTGAGTGAAATAGCTTTAATTACTGCTTGATATCAAGCTGCCTGAGACGGAAATAGTAATTGGCACCTTATGGTTGCAGGTTCAAAGCTCTGAACACAAAGCTATGGATAAACTTGTGGCAAAATATTTTATTTTACTTATTACCTGTGAGTGCCCAATATAATCCAACTTGGACTGCCCAGTAAATTTCAAAACAAAATCGATAATTGTCGGCAGATCTTCTGTTCCCATTTCATGCCAACTAATTTAAAATTAATATCATTTATTAATTTATTTATATATTCAATTGTAGTTTCTATATTGACTAATTTATACCTGAAGTCCCAATATTCAAGATTACTATCAGGATCCAAATTTTGGTGCATCCGCGAATATTTATTACCTCTATTATTGCCTAACCAGACATCATAACCATGGTCTGATAAAAACAAAGCTAAAACATAAAAAAATCTGTTTAAATACTTTTCAAAGTAAATTGCATTTATCATTTTACCTAATGATTTGTTAGGTCCCATCAGGACAAAATCAGCAGAACTTGAAAACAATCCTGGTATCAACAGCACCACTTTATTGTCAAAATTTTGAAAAGTTTTTAAAAGTGGATCATTTTTTGGTGAACGCGGTATTCTGTGCAGAGATAAAATATAACCATCTTTTGTTGTCACGTTATACTGTTCTACAGGGTAACCGAATTCTTGTATAAAGTCAGCCTAAAAATAAAAAATGAATAAGATTTTGTGAGCTGGCCCGATAATCGTTGTTTTGCCATAAAACATCTTCCTAGTGTTTAGTACGAAAATAACTAACTGATTGCAAATGTGGTGCATAAGTGAAAAGAGCAGCTAACAAAAAATATATGAATAGTTTACCCACTGCAAAGCACGTCACATATAAATGTTCTTTATTAGTCTTTGCTAGAGCCAACCTAATTTCAAAAATGATTCTATTTAAATTGAATTGGCACATTTATGGGGAAATTCTGCCGTAACAGAGCTCATAAAATAGCGTTGTCATGGCAACGGTCTTTTATGCTTGTTCTTGGTATTGGAAATTATGAAAATATTTTCATATTTGCCGAGCGATTAGGCGCATTTTTATGCAATGCCGTGTTTTTTATTATTTCAGATATTTTTGAATTACGAATCAAAATCCGATAATTCATTTTTAAATTATATTCTTATGTAGCATTTCCAACGAACTGACTGAGATTGAAAAACAATTAGATTGTGGGAAAATTTACAGCTTCGCCATAGATTTATATGGTACCTATAGTTTCCTATCAAAAACTGTTGTATCTTCATATTTTAATATTTAATCTCTAATTTTTTGCAAAAATTGCTCTCTTTGCAAACCATTTATCAACTTTGTGTCAACTGTTTGTGCACATCGGAAAATATTTGTACAATGAGAAAGTAGGAGGAGTGAACAACTCTTGATAAAAATAAATTGTTTTTTTTAAGTAAAATTAATGCTTTGTCACAAGGTTAAAATAATATAAATAAAATATTCAGTAAACGAAACGATCGCTGATTGGAAGCGTGGTGAAAAATTATTCGATTACTGAAATGGCTATTATGAAATAGAGTTTTGGGGAAGGAGGGTGAAAATTTAAAGTTGTGTACATTTTTTAATTCGGAATTATGAACATTAAAATTAATTAGGCAAGTTACATGAACTTTTCGACATGTGTAAATAATCGAACTAATCAATAAAAATTAAATTAATTTATGAGTGATTAAAAGTATTTCGAGTGGATTTATTACACATAATTCCAAACGAATGAACACGTTAACTCGGAGTCGGAGTATTTTCTAAAAGCAAATTAGCAAAAATCAACAATTTTTATAATTAAACCAGTTTTTGTAGGACTTTAATGGTTTAGTATGTTTATTGAAGACAAGTGCTCTATCGTTATACCAAGTAAATCGACTAATTTTAAATTTAACAAACATCAAAAAAACTACTCATTTTTTAAAACTTTGATGATTTTTTAAAATTAAACTACTTGTCGTGAGGCCGTTATATTTCAGTAAGTTCAGTAAAAAAAGTTCCATAAAAATCGGCTTAAATTTTTTTCAGCAGTTAATTACAAGAAAACAGCTCGGTAGGTTTTCACCTAAAACTAATCACTATTAGTCCCAACTAATATCTTTCGAACAGTTTTTGATTTTTTTAAATTGATTCGGTAGTATGAGTTTAAAAATGGACGAAAAGTTTAACACTTTTTTCCAAATTACAAAGAAACGCCTGGCAGATCGTCGCACAAAACTGAGAATTTTTAAAAGGTCTAATTTTAACAAATGCAAAAAAAACGATACTAATTTTTGCAAACTTTGACGGATTTTTAAAGTTAAACGAGATGCCGTAGGGCCGTAATATTTTAGTATGATCTATAAGACTATGGTATCTAGATCTACCGTCAAAAAAAATTCATAAAGATCATCGAAAAAAAATTTTCACCCTTTTTTACCAAAAAAACGGCCTGGCCAATCTTTACCAAAAACTAATCAGCACGATTCCCAACCAATATCTTTCGAACGAATTTTTTTTTTCACTTTTCTGCTATTTATAAAGAAACAGCTTGGCCTATCGTTGCACAAAACTGCTAGTCCTCGTCAAAATACATCGAATGGCTTTTAAATTTTTGAAATCAGTCTAGCCGTTTTTGAGAAAACGTCGATTTACGGTAATTCCGCATTAAAAAAATGTTTAAAATGTGTATAAATTGTGTTTTAAGATAACATTTAACCATTTTCATATACTCAAAAAATCTTAACTAAAATAATGTCAAATAAAGGTGAAATTAAAACTAAAAAAAAATTGATTCCAAAATTTAAAAAATAAGGGTGGACAACTCTTGATAAAAATAATTAGTTTTTCATAGTAAAAAGAGTTCAATGTATTTTTCAATTTCAAATTATAGAAAATCCAAAGATAAAAATTGGTCAAAAACTCAAAAAAAAGTGTTAGGGGAGGACAAACCTTGATAAAAACAAATTGTAATTTAAAGTAAAATTTCTGCTTTTCTTCAACCTCAATAACCTGAACTGAAATTATATCAAAAATATTCAATGATAAAAATAGATTGTGTTTCTAAAATGGCTATAGAAAAATAAGGGTTGGTTGAAAAAGTAAATTCTCAGTGTTGTATGTATTTTTAAAGCTACATTATAAAAAAATAAAAACAAAAAAAATGTCCAAAACTTACAAAAAAAAAATAAGGGTGATGAACTACCCTTAGTACTTAGGAGTATGAAAAACAGATAGTTACCGATTCACAGGCCTACTGAATACGCATATCAAATTTGATAATAATCGGTAAAGCCGTTTCGGGGAACGAACCTTGTGACACGATAATTTTATATATGATATATACACAGACATACATACAATAAACAATATTGTTTAATTTTATATATTCCTGTAAATTAAAATTACTTACCGTTGTTTTGGTGTATAAGGACATTGCTTCAGGCAAAAACCACATTAAACAACAAAATATATTCAAACAACTAATTAATTTATTTTTAGTGAACATTTTTCTAATATTATTTATACTTGTTTGAAACTAATGGCTTTATTTATAAACTACAGGTAAAAGTTGTGACTTTATTACTATTCACTAATTTTTATAGTTTTAATTTAATCTTATTAATACTACATTAATATTTATAAAATTGTTTGAAGGTTTCACAATTATATTTTAAAATATTTACACCTAATTAAAATATATAAATGCGTTTAAAATTAAATGAATATTAACTTAAGTAATAGGAAAAAAATCTTCAAATTTGTTATTGATTTTAATTATTATGATGCTGCTAATATTATTAATTTATTAAAAAAATTATTTTACAATTCAAAATTATTAATAATCAGTAAACTGTATTAAATTTGTTAAAATCCAATTTTTTAACCAACAATATATTTTTATTTATGAGCACAAAAAATAACAATTTACTGCTGTTTTTACATTTTCAACAATTTGTCTATTTTTTAAAGAATTAAATATTTATATTCAAATAACTTCATTTGCCTGAATAATTGATATTTAATTTGTTTTTCTTTCTTCACTTCATTCATTCATCTGAATAAGTCTATTTATTTAAATAACTGTAATAATGTGTTATTTAAAACATCTGTCCATTTAAAAACTGTATTATTCGGAAAACTTTGTCTTGAAATTATTTAAAAACACCAAAAACAACAATATTGCCTATTTATTTAAATAATTGAAATTCTTTGTTATTAAACAAAATTTAGTTTGTCTATTTATTTATTTATTTATCCATATTATCGATTCGACTGATTCGTTTCATATTCCTACTCTCCTTATATATATATAATAATAAATTGTTATAAACAATTTACTCGTTTTACATTGATGTAATAATATAATAATTTAATAATGATGATGTTTACAACAATTATTTACGTATTTTTCTTTTCTGTTTATTAATGAAATCTTGAACTTGAAACCTTTGAAACTTACCTTGAAATTGTTGTATGTTATCAGAGATGGATTATAAGAAAGTAATTGAAGGATGCAATAATTTTATAAATATTTGTTTTTGTCAGAAAATTTGCTAATTTGCCAATTTGCTAATTTTATAAATATTATCGGCTCACAGAAAAGTGGTACAATTATATAAAATAATTTGTGTTTGGAATGAAGGCCTTAGGACATACACTTTTTGCAGCTTGATTTAAAATGCCACTTACAAATATAGTAATTGATCGAATTGATAAAATTTATGGATAAATAAATAAAGTGGTGGTGCATGGTATCTTGCCTTAAGGATCTTCCTGTGCCAAAAATTAATATTTTTAAAAAAGACAGAAAACTCTGAAAAAAGTCGATGTTTGTGATTTTTAAAAACTGAAAGAATTGACCTTTTTAAAAAAAATATTTTTTGTTAATATTGACAATATTGATAATTTGTAAATATTGAACCTTTTTCAAATCAATCGCGATTTTAAATCAGTTGATCCATGTTTTCGAAATCGGCGACGAAAACTTGCATCCGCACACCCACACACATACATACACACACATTATCCTTTTTTTTTAAGATAAGCCAAAATATTTAGAAGACCTTAAAACGTAAAGATATGCAAAAAAAAATATTTTCGATTTTTTTGCGATTAGTATATCTTAACCTCATGAAGTTAATAAATATACATACTAAGCTTTGTTTAATAGCAAAAAATTTCAATTTTTAAATAAATATACAATATCTGGTACTTTTGGTGTAAATAAATAATTTCAATAGACAAAGTTTACTGAATAATCTATATTCAGTTATTTAAATGAACAGATTATTATAATGACAAATTAAATATTAGTATTCAGATAAATAAAGCTTTTTAATATAAAATATTCAGTTATTTAAATAGACAGAGATTTTAATAACACATTATTGCGGTTATTCAACTAAACAAAATGTGATTTTAGATTAACGAATAATTTATACCTTTTTTGGCAAAAAGTATTATTATTGGTGGATTCTGTCTGGGCACCATATTTTATTTACTAATTTTTTTACCACTTTTTACATTCCTAACTCCTTCTGCATAAAATTTCAATTTGCTGTGAATTTTCTCTTTGTATAAATTTCCTTAATTGACGTCAGAATATGGGTCCAATACAGATTTCCTTTTTGTTTCTACCTTTACAGTATTAGTTTAGTTTCACAGAATCATTAAAATTAGTTCTTATAAGTAGATAAAACTTTTATATAACTTGTACAAAAATTAATTTATAATATTATTAAGAAGAATAAATAGAACATTTTTTTCTCATTGATTAAGGTAAATAAAATTAGAAAAATGTTTAATTTCATTACTAAAAATTTTTTATTTTTTCTAACAGATATATTTATCATATGTTTTTCCATAACCAGACTTTTAATTTTCAATCAATGTGTCTTTGTGCAGAATCTCCTTTGTGCCCTTTATGGATCCAATTTAGTTTTTTTTTCTTTTTCTACCTACACAAAAACGTTTAATTTCATAAAACAAAATTTTTGTGTGCCTTGTACAAAAACTAATTTATAATATTCTTACTGCTTAATATCAAGCTGACATGGAAGGCAGAATACAACTTATTTTTCTCAGAAATTATATGCATTAATAAATAAATTTTAAGCAAATTTAATTTAATTAGTTTTAAGTAAAAACTAATAAGCTTACAGCTTGATATCAAGCTGACAGAAGTGAATTTTTTTTATTAATTAAGGTGAATAAAATTAGAAAAAAATTTAATTTCATTAACAATGAATTGTTATTTTTCCTCACTGATAAAATAATTTTATCAAGACTTCGATAACGTCGTGCAGAAGCCCCTTTAACACTATAGGTCCAATTCAGTTTTCTTTTATATTTCTACCTACACAAAAGCATTAAATTATTTCCACAAATCTTTAAAATCATTTAATATGAGTGAAAAAACTTTTATGCAATTTGTACAAAATTTAATTTTAAGCAAATATTTAAATTCTTACGTCTCTTGATATCAAGCTGACAAGAAAAGGAATTAGCACTTTGTTTCCTCAACAATTTTAATTTCTTTACCAAAGAAATGTTATTTTTTATCACTGTTATAATAATTGCTTGTTCTTTCGTCAATATGCATAAAAAATTAGTTATTTATAGAATTATTTTTGCGCTATTTGTTATTTGTTGATTGTTGCGTATGTAAATACCAATAATTATAAACAAAATTTATTCTAGAAACCTGAAAACGCACCAAACTAGTTTATATATATATATATATATATATATATATATATAATTTAATTAAAAATTAGTTTATAGACAATATATACTTGGACTCGGATATTGTTTACAACACGATATCGATTTAAAGCACGTTACATAATTACAATTTTATTATTTTGCACGAAACAAAAACAAATTTTGCAATGTTCTTGCATAATGTTGCTAATTTTGACGTAATAACATTTCATTGTATTAGTTATTCATTAAAAACACATTTGTGAAGAATAAAATTTATTTTAAACAAAGGATGTGGGCGTGTTTCTATACAGAATCGGCCTCACCCTGGTATTTAAATGATTTTGATACCATTTTATAGGTCTTTTCGAAAAAATACAATATACCAATTTTCAACTCACTATCTCATCATTTGGCCGAGATATTAATGAAAACATGTAAAAGTGGCAATATTTTCAATTTTACTTTTTGTTGGAAATATAAAAAATATCAAAAAAATAAAAATAACAATAATAATAATAATAAATAAATTAATAAAAATGGATTAAAAATAAATAAATAAAAAATGAAAAAAACAAATTGTAGTAATTGCTCCAATAAGCAATTGACTATGGAAAACAATTTTTTACATAAAGTCTTATGTAAAAACATACATTTACATACATTTTTTACATAAAGTCTTATGTTAAGTCATAGGCTGTTTCTTGCGTAGTCTTATAGGTGGATTATCAAGCAGATGAGCCAAAGTTGCTTTAGGATGATCGTGAATTTTGGTATGATGTCCAATACTGGTATTCTTGATGACATCCACCACAAAAGAGATGTTGAGGTCATCATGTATGATTTTGTTGCTAACAAACCACGGGGCATCAGTAATCATCCTTAATGTTTTAGATTACTACAACATCAACACGGTTGGATTCCATACGTCTTATAAATTAGAAGCTTATTATCTAATGATAATTTTGATTTTCGACCAATAAGCCAATTTAATTTTGAAAGTGTAAGTTTAATTTGTTTTATTTTGTCCATGGTGTGCGGCTTCCTGGCTAATCTGCGATCCGTGTGAATACCCAAGTACTTAACTGTGTCTCTGATTGGTATTTTTTTATTTAATTTATTCTACAATCTGTTTTACATGAGCATTAACATTAAGCAGAGATTGATAACAATAAATATCTTACAATATAAACCAGAAGATAGTAGCAACACCCAGCGGCGTGTATACTAGGTATATATAATACATATTAAGAAAAAAGAAAAACAAAGAAAGGCAAACAAAAAAAAACAAAACGATAAGAAAAACAAACAATCAAATATAACAAAAAAAAGTAGTAATTAGACTTAACTGGACTAGATAAGGTCTTGTGGCAACTTTCTTTTCAATCTGGTGGGCTGACCATCCAGGTAAAAGCTGCTGGCCAATTCATTGAGATGTACGTCAATCCTATTTTTATATTTAGAAGCAATCACTGAAATTTGTTCCTTTATTGTGAGCAAGCCTGTGTCCTGATGGATGATCCATGAAGGGGTGTAGCGAGGAGCGTTTAATATTTGCCTCAGGATTTTCTTTTGAGTACGTTGGATGATGTTTAGATTGCTTTTTTTGCTGTACCCCAAAGTTGGAGACCGTAGGTCCATATGGGCTTGAGTACCACCTTGTATATTAACAGTTTATTGTAAACTGAGAGTTCAGAATTTTTATTTAGTAGCCAGTAATTTTTTTTAAAC